TGATATTCACTCAGTTTCAAACGAAAATCCAAATTTTCCAATCAAACAATGCAAAAGAATATTTCCATAGTGATCTCATAGAGTTATTTGCTTCGTGCGGATCCATACACCGTAGCTCTTGCACTAGAACCCCCTAGCAAAATGATGTTGTTGAAAGAAAGAATCGTCATTTCCTTGAAGTTGCTCGCGGGTTACTTATACACATGAATGTTCCTAAACGTTTATGGTTGGATGCTGTGTTGTGTGCTGCCTATCTCATCAATCGTATGCCATCTCGCATGTTAGGGTACAAGGCCCCCCATCAGCTTCTTTTTCCCAAGGCTCCCCTCTTCTCTATTCCTATCCGTGTGTTTGGTTGTTGTTGTTTCGTCTAGGACCTTTCTCCTACACGTGGAAAACTTGATCCTCATACCATTCCTTATGTCTTCTTGGGTTACCCTTCTTTCCAAAAGGGCTATCGATGTTTTGACCCTATTTCCAAGAAGTATTATGTCTCTATAGATGTGTCTTTCTTTGAAAGTGATCCTTTTTTCCTGGTTTCTCCTCAAGGGGAGAGTAAGGTAGAGGAGAAATCAGTTCAGGTTCAGGCTCTTCCTCCTTTGCCTGACCCTCCTCCATTCCGTGTTTTTTGTCGTCGCAAGAGCCAGCTAAATTCAAGAGTTGTGGAGCAACTTGAAACCGTACTACCAACACCATCAGATTCATCGGGGACAGATCATATCCAACCAGGTACTATCATTCCTATTGATGTTCCTGATGACCTTGACATTCCTATTGCAAAAAGAAAGGGAGTTAGGTCTTGTACCACCAAGTATCCTATTACCCATTTTGTTACCTATGAGAACATCTCACCCTCCTTTCGTGCTTTCATTTCTTCCATTGACAGTGTCCCTATCCCAAAAAATGTGGCAGAAGCTCTCTTAGTACCTAAATGGATAGATGTAATGAAAGAAGAGATAAATGCCCTACATAAAAATGGTACGTGGGAATTAGTGGATCTTCCTGAGGGTAAGGAACCGGTAGGGTGCAAGTGGGTGTTCACAGTGAAGCACAAGGCTGATGGCACGATAGAAAGGTACAAAGCTAGGTTGGTGGCAAAAGGATTTACCCAGGTATATGGTGTAGATTATGCAGAAACTTTTGCCCCAGTGGCCAAGATGAACTCCATTAGAGTCCTTTTCTCCCTTGCGACAAATCTTGATTGGGATCTTCATCAGCTAGACATTAAAAATGCCTTCCTGAATGGAGACTTTGAGGAAAAGGTGTACATGGTCCAACCTCCTGGCTTTAGTGCCCTAGGTAAAGAGCAGAAAGTGTGCAGACTAAAGAAATCTTTGTATGGTCTGAAGCAATCACTAAGAGCTTGGTTCAACAAGTTTTATCTGGCTATACTGCAGATTGGCTACAAACAATGTCAGACTGACCATACTCTATTTGTGAAGAGGGGAAGGAAAGATTGCAACCTTGATAGTGTATGTTGATGACATAGTGATCACAGGTGATTGGAAGGTTAAAATTCAGAGACTAAAAGATTTCTTAGCCATTCAATTTGTGGCGAAGGATCTAGGTCCCCTTCGATACATCCTAGATCTGTTATTGAAGTGGCCCGCTCTCAAAAGGGGATCTTCATTTCTCAGAGGAAATACATCCTAGATCTGTTATAGGATACAGGAAAACTAGGTTAAGCTAGCCGACTCTCCCATTGATCCAAATCACAGACTGGGTGATTGTTGTGGTGAAGTTGTCAAAGATGTAAAACAATTCCAGAGACTTGTGGGAAGGCTCCTGTATTTATCCATGACCGGGCCATACATTGTTTATGCAGTAGGTGTTCTTAATTAGTTCATGCATGCTCCTAAGACCACACACTTAGAGGCAACAGAAAGAATACTCAAATACCTAAAGAGGTTTCTTGGAGCTGGTTTGTTATACCAAATGAATGGTCATTTGAAGATTGAAGTATATACAGATGCTGATTGGGCTAGATCAGTTGATGACAGAAAGTCTACTAGTGGGTATTGTTTCTTTGTGGGAGGAAACCTAGTCACATGGAGAAGCAAGAAACAAAATGTGGTGGCTAGGTCTAGTGCTGAAGCTGAATATAGAGCAATGTTCCATGGGGTGGCAGAAGGCATGTTGATAAAGAATCTGTTGAACGAACTAGGTTTTCCTGTTGATGGCCCTATGTCCTTGTATTGTGATAACAAGACTGCAATCAACATTGCAGCCAACCCAGTTCTTCATGATAGAACTAAGCATATAGAGGTTGACAAACACTTCATTAGAGAGAAAATTGTTAATGTGGAAGTGTGCACCCCGTATGTGAGTTCTAAAGAGAAACTGGCAATTATATTTACAAAAGGCTTACATCACTCACGGCACGATGATTTATGTGACAAGTTGGGCATGATTGATATTTACGTCCCAACTTGAGGGGGAGTGTTGAAATAACTTAGTTTATTTTAAGTTTAGTGTTGCAAGGGCACCTTTGTAATTTTCTCTTTTCTTTTTTCTGTATGGTCGCCCTAGTATAAATACCAAATAAACTGGCGCTGCCAGTTGACTTTTTGCCTCTTTCAATTCTGTCTCTCTTTTCTCTCTTCTCCCTTCTCCCTTCTCCTTCTTCTCTTCTCTCTGTTCTGGAATCATACCATCTCAGCACCAAGAAAACAGACTTTATTTTTCAATCAATTATTCCTTTAATTGCAATTAGAATGGCTCTATTTGTAGACTCAATTTATGGAGGAAACTTTGGTCATCCATGTTTGTCAGCTTGGGCTGTGGCTGTCAAATAATATGTCATGTGGGGGAGAACCCTGGTGACAACCCAGGCCAAATTTTTTCCCCAATTTATGAACTCCATTGTTCACTTTATTAATATGTGATAAAAAATTGCCCCGCACCCAGTTGTCCCTAGGTAGCCTCAGCTACCATTCACATTATATTTTATACCCTACTTATTGTTACAAATAACTAGGAACCAGATTCCCTCTTAGTCATCTCCCAATATAATTGAGCCATGTTCACCTCTTCTTTGGCTTGGGCATCTGCCAAATTGTTTACTTCTCTGTTTAATGCATGATAACAGGTCAAGCAGATCTGTTTTAGTGATTTTTACAGCAAAAATCACCCAAACTGATGGAAAAATTTAGAAGAAAGAAAGAAGAATAAAGTGAAGAAAGAACTACCAGCTTTTTAAGCTTGAAGTAATTGAATATCCTCCTTTTCTTCTTCTGGGAGCAGCTAATAATGTTCTTATATAGGGGTTCTGTTTAGGCAGCCAAAAAAAAAAACTCTGAAATTACAAAGATAGTAATAAGAAAATCCCAAAAGTAGCATCCCTTAATAACTATAAACCCTCTAAGACTCTTCATAACAATAATAATCAACTAGAAATCATTAACTACTGAGAAAGAACCTGAGAAATCATCAATACAAAATTAAAACAAGAAAACCAGCTAAATTATCTCGGCAAATAAGAAAAATAGCTAATTCAGGCATTTGGTTTCACTTTCTTGTTCTTTTTAGATTTATCATGTGTTTCTTCATAATTAAGTGCAGCAGTCTCTACATCAGTTTCCATTGAAAATGAACTCTCATTTCTTTTGCAGTTTCCCAACTTCTCTCAAAGTATGTATTTACTACCATGGACCTGGACTGTTATATAACAAGCAGGTCAAGTAATATGAGAATCAACTTCCACCAGAATATCTCTGAAGTTTAATGACTTTCCAAGCTTTAAACATTGGTGTAAGGCAAATAAGTCAGCCCTTAATAAGTCTTCTTGACCTATAGGGCCTGAATTATCACTCCATTAGAATCCCTAATGGGGTTAACAGGAGCTTTATGTATTGGGGGATGGTTCCCTAAAGGGATTTGGAAAGAAAAGAGGGGTGGCTAGTGGGACTAGGCCAAACTTGGTGTGCAAGACAAATCATTATATATACTATTCTTCCATATTTTTCTAATAAAATTTGTACAGTTACTAATCAAGAAAAACACTAAGACTCTAAAAAGTATAGTAAAAATTCTTAAAAATTCTCTTAAACATTAGAAAACTAGAAGACCAAAACAAGAATACTTGAAAATCTCAAATAAGCATAAATGGTTGTATGTTATATTATTTGTGAAGAAGGTATACTATGATTTGGCTATAGCTTGAACAAATTTATTAACGTCGGGTTAAGACATGCATAAAAATGGCCTAAATGGTATATCATTTCCATATTTCATGTTTCCTATTTTAAATAATTGTTTTGGTTGTATAAATGAATCCTATGATTGTATTGATGTATGCTCTATCTTTTTGTGAAAGGCTTTTTGTATAGTTCAAGCACTTTCATAGTGTTTTGATGCTTTCCACAATTTTGTAGCGTTTATTTTATCTTCTATTTACTTCCATACTTCCATGAATTAACTCTACTTATATTCCTGCAATCCCTCACAATGACAAATATGCTGATCAGGAAGCACTAGGAGTCATGAAAAATTTACAGTTGATGTGATAAAAAAACAAAACAAAGTGCAGCAACCACAGAGAAAAAAAACAAAAAGAGGAGAAATGATAATAGAAGAATTCAGGAGTCAGGACAATATTTTCTTTGGGACCATTTTAAGAGTCTGCATAATTATGCAACAGAAAAAAGAAGAGGAATGTTCAAAAATGATACGTTAATGCCATGTCTCCTCGCAGATTTCTATTTAAGGAAGAAAAAAGAGAAGAAGGGGGGAGGACACAATGACCTTTGCTAAAAATGAGAACTACAGTAAAACTGAGATATATCACAAATCCATGCTTTCGCGTCAGAATAAAACTAAGAGCTATTCAATTGATCTTCTTTTCCCTGTGTTGTACTTTGCAATCTCTTTTTGACCAATTGGACAATCAAATTGCGACACTATTTGCTGCAGTTAATTTATTGGCTTGGTTAATAATCTGCCCCTTGTGTATCTCTATCTGTATGTGGATGGTATGCTAACTTCAATGTTCATTTTTGCAGATTTCCAATGCTGAGTTTTTATTGCTACAAAGTGCACAAGAAAATGCTAAGCTACAATCTAAAATTGTTCAATCTCCGGAGAAACTTCAGGTACCGTACCATACATTTCATTGGCTTGAGTAGTTACAACACCCCTATTTAGCTTACTGTAGTTGATAATAATGATTTATTTAGCATAGAAGGTTAATCTATCTTAATAAAATTACTGGTATGATTGTGTTATGGACCTATGGTTTTAGAGTACAACATCATGATTCTTTTTGTGACTAAAATGCCATTTTATTGAGAAAAACTAGAAATTTGTTTTCAAGTTCCAACAAAATATGCCACAACCAACAAACACTCTCACATTTAAATTGCCATTTTTTTTTGAGGTGGAGATGGGGATTGCAATTTTGGGGAGAATGCATATTTTCCTGGTGGTAGCTTCATCACTAGATATGCTGTTCCAAGAAAACTAGATATGCTGTTCCGACAGAACATTCTAACAAAAATCTTATCCCCCACTCCCAATTTTGTGGATTTCTTTGATGAAATCCTCACAATAGATCATCTTATATCCTGCTAGAGAGATATAGGAAAGTGACGTCATTTATGCTGCTATTCCAATAACTTCAACTATCATACTTTGCTGGGGTTTTTGGGAGTGGAAGGTGAAACAGGTTTCTATCTTCCCCTGAACCAGTTGATTATGAATGACTAAAACTCCCTCCCCTGAACCAGTGCAGCGAACAGCTTGCTATTTCCTGAATTCCGCTCAGCACTATTTTTAGCTGAAGTGCAAAATCTGAAATGTAGGAAATACAAAATCAGTGTTACATTCAGATCTAGTTGCTTTCCATAAAATTATTTGAGTGGCTATGGATCATCATCCAGCAAATATGTCTCCACTCATTTAGCCATGGTGAGCAAAGGGCTCTAGTAGAAATGGATGCTTTTTTTGAAACTTTGCTCACTTTTACATAGTGTTCCATATGGAAGGTTAGGAGTAATCACATCCTTGAATGCAAATGCAAGAGAAAATAGCATAAATTCATTGTATCATCTGAAAGTTTTTCCAAGTTGTCTTGGATGCTGTTGAGGATAGGGATGCAAGTTGGGTGGGTTGGGCCAGGTTTTAGCTCAACCTAGGCCCAACCCTAAGAATTGGGCCCAAGCCTGAACCTGGCCCGCATTAATGATGCATTAAGGTTGGGCTTGGGCCCGGGCTGGGCTCAGGTTGGTCAATCAGCCCACACTAAAAATTGATATACATGTGTGTTTATGTATGCATGCATATATGTATAGTTTACTAAAAAAGTATGCATATATGCATGCAAATATGTGTCTACATATGCACATATACATGTATATAATCAGGCGGAGCTTAGGTTGGGATAAGGTCGAGCAGGCTCAAGCTTCCTCGCTCGAAAAATTTAAAAGCCTGAACTTTTGGGCCGAGGCCCAGCTAGAGGACAAAAAATTTAAGTCTAGCTTGTCAGCCTGTGTAAATTTGCAGGTTGGATCAGTCCGGGCTCAGGTTGGGCCCACCCATGTTGCACCCCTAGTTTAGGAGTTTGTTTACATTTTATGTTTATGATATGAGTAGAAAACCTTATGTGCTGATTTCGGCCAAGCTTCTTGTGAAAGGAAGAGTAGAAAGTTGGGGATTTCAGCAAGAGACAAAGGAAAGGGAAGAAAAGAG